CTTTCATGGGCATCACAACATTGGGCATGAGGACGCAGGAGCTGGCATCCAGGGAGCTCTGAAATTCACCCGCAGGAAACAGAGCAATTTGGAAGCACCAGGAACCTTCTCCTTGTGACAAGGCCTCCAAATGGTGGCTCATTGATCCTTGGACCCCTCCCAAGGCAATTCATTTTCAAGTGAGCCTCGGAGCACTACCTGCTTTGCAGGGGCCAAAGCACCCTGGCCCCACTCAGACCCCACAACCTGGGCATGTGCCCTGATGGGGAATTGAATCCTAACCTCCTGGTTCATAGGTCAATGCTCAACCACGGAGCCACACCAGCCGAGCACTGCACTTTTTTTCTCGCTTCTCTTCCACCTTTGTCTCACTTTCCCAGTTTCCTCACTTGGATTTCCTGGGACCATCTTCCAAATAAACACTTGCACCCATGTCCTTCTCAAATGCACGTTCTGCATCACTGAGCTTGGCGTGTGCTTACTGTGGTGGTTGTCAACAGTTTACTTTTACACATTAATCTCAAGTTATGGAAATAAACAATATGGTTGTAATATACCATTAAATAGATAGATGGATAGAGAGGGGGCGAGAGAAATCGATTCAGCTTTCTAACATGGTATCCTATAGTTTTCATTCCTTATAATGTCCTTCTCAGGTTTGGGCATCAAAGTTGTGCTGCCCTTATAAAGTGAGGTGAGGAGTCTATCCTTTTTCTGTTCCCTGCAAGGACAATTGGAAAATGCATAGGCAACGCTTTACATTAAACAATAATCTTTGACCCTTTCTTAGGAAATTATTGCCAGGAAATTATCAGACAGCTGAATGGGGATTTAGATGCAAACATTTGTTCTTTATCAAAATGAAAAGTAGAAACAAAGTAGGTCTTTTCCAGGAGGGGATGCTATAAAAAAAGGTACTGCAGGAAAAAAATGTCAACAAGAAACTAATGAGTTTTCTCCCAATAATCAAAAACCAATTACTAAAAAAGAATAATTGTGATGATCACCAGATGGCGGTGTGGCTCTTTTTGTTCAAATGGAGCACTTCACCATTAGTTCCAGAAGTTTACAACTTCGTAAATCAACGTTCTTTTTAGGAGAGTCCTGAAATCAAAACTGAGAGCTGTAAGGGACTCAGAACTTATCTAGTCCCGACTCCTCACACCTTTCCCACGCCTGCCTTTCAGGAATCTCCTTCACAGGCAGCCTCCATCAGGCAATAAGGTTAACCCCAGCACATGAGAATGCCACCGACCGAAGCAGCCATGGAGATGTGAGGGAGCTGTGTGCCATAAAGTTCTCTAAATGAAATGTACCAGTGACCCTAGTCAGCTCTGCTCACTTGTGCCACGTAGAGCTTGTCTGCTCTCCCCTCCAGAACTTTTTGCTTTTTTTTTGTAGTGGCATAAAAATAGTAAATTCAAAATAGACACTCATGAATAGGTTTAAAAAAATTAACTTCAACAATCTTGTGTGAATTTAACAACAGACTAAACCAACAGTCACAGACTAGTTTCACAATTGGCTCAAAAATGCACATTATAGCAATTACATGCAAGCGTTATTTTTTTAGACAATTTTAAATTTAATTTTACTTGAATTTCACAAAAGAAAAAGAAGTTGATGGGATTGCTGAATTCATAAAATATTTCCTCTAGGCAAGAGATACTTCCCCTAAAATATCCCTTCAAGATTAAAAAAAAAAGAAACTGAGAACATTAAAGGTTGAAGTCATTATGATTTTTTCCAAGGACATATTTTCATTTTTGTTTGTGTAAACTGACTTCTTGCTGTGAAAGATGAGTTCGTTGGCCCAGCCACACTGGCATGAACACACAGTTCTGAAAATATTGAAGCCCTTCTGTACCAGTTAGTAAAAGTCAGCTACTGGACTCTCCCCAGGGCTCTCCCTCTCTCCTGGCTGCCCCATCCCACCACCAGGACCAACCCCAACCCCCATCTCCCCGGGACCCAGAGCTACAGGGGAGATGGGACTCTGGTCCCGCCTCCCAGTCCCTTCAACACCCACCACTTCGCCCCAAACAGCTTAGTTTCCATCTGTTTTATATAATGGCCGTCAGGTAAGGCTTTGTTTGCAGAAAGTATTCAGTGTGAAAACCGTTTGAAAATCCCTGCTCAAGGTCAGCCCTCAGGCCCTTGCAAGTTTGCACAGTCAGGATTTCAGAGAATGGAGGCCTTTCTCCCAAACACACTAGCTCCTTATAAAGTCAAGTGCACCTCTGCATCCTGGTGCAATTACCTTGCATCCAAATGGGCAACAGACACAGGCCTGTGGGTATGGAGATGACCCCTGAGCCGGCTCCAAATCGGATGAGGCAGAAGGTGCTGGAGCCCAGGCTCGAGTGGAGGTGGCAGGAAGAGAGTGGGCTTTGCTCCATGCCTAGCCCTGTGCCAGGTGCTCACGGTCCAGATCCTCTCCAATCCTATAAGAGGTGTTTCTTCGCTCCCTTCCCTCCCTCCCTCCTTCCCTTCCTTCTGGGTTTACTGAGCACCTGTCTGTGCTGGGGGCTGGGGTACAAAGGCAAAGCTAGCATCCCCGAGACCTCACCGCCCCGTGAGAGCATCATCCAGAAAACGGTGCGGGGTGCAGAGGGAGCCCCAGGTGACTCAGGGAAGGTTCACTTGGGGCTCCCTCTGCATCCTGCACTGTTTAAGTGGAGTTAAAGCCGAGCTAAGATTTGAAGGATGAGGAAGGGCATTCAAGGTGGAGGGAACTGCATGTGTGAAGGCAGGGAGGCAGGAAACAGCCCGCCTGGTCTGGGGACTGTGGGAGGAAGATGCAGCCCAGGTGCAGGAAATCTGCTGGGTGAGGTTGGGGTCCCAGAATCCACTGCCTGGACCCTCTGCCTCCTTGACCTCCTTTGCTCCCGGCTGCCTGGCCAGGAAGAGGCCTCTGCTGACCTGCACAAACGGAGGCTTTGAAGCTGGAGAGAGGGAGGAAAGGGACCAGCTGGTGTTTATTTTTGGATTGCTTCTCAGAAATCTCCTTCTCCTCCTCCGACACCATAGCAACCAGGTGGCAGCTGGGGAAGCCACCTGTGAGCTGGGCTGGGTTGAGGGGGACGTGGGGTAGGGGTAGGGACCTCTGCTCCCCCTCTCTGAGCCTCAGTTTTGGCATCTAGAATATGGGCACGACAACCAGTTGCTGGCTCCTGTCAACCCAGGTGCTCCAGGAAGCTGAGGTCCAGGCTGGACTCATTAGGGGGAAGGCCTGGGAGGTAAGGGCAGGACTGGGGAGTGCCCTGCCTCATCCTGCAGCAAGGCCGCCAGGAGTCCCTGAGCCACGTGGCCTGCACTTCCCACCAAGCAGCCTGCCCTGGTGCCCACTGCACTGTCACTGCCAAGGAGCCCTCCGGAGGAGCGGGAGACTGGGCCGAGGCACAGACACAGGGATGGATCTCCCTGTGAGCCCGCCTGCACTTCCCACCGAGCAGCCTGCCCTGGTGCCCACTGCACTGTCACTGCCAAGGAGCCCCCCGGAGGAGCGGGAGACAGGGCCGAGGCACAGACACAGGGATGGATCTCCCTGTGAGCCCTGCAGCGAGAAGTCTAAGGGGTCTCCCCTGCTGGGGCACAGGGCTCACCAATTCCCAGAACCCGGTCAAAGCCCCAAAAGAAGGGGCAGGAAGGGGTCTATTTCCTGAGGCTGCTGCTCCGATGACCACAGACTGGCCTAAACAAACAGGAACATGTGCTCTCCGTTCTGGGGCCAGAACCTGAAATCAGGGTGTCTGGGGCTGTGCTCCCTCCCAGGGCTCCAGGGGAGGGTCCTTCCTGCCTCTTCAGCTTCTGGGGGCTCCTGGCCACATCCCTTCAATCTTCACCTGGCCTCACCCCCTTGTTCAGGCGCCTTCGCTCCTGTGTTCATGTGGCCCCGCCCCCCTGAGACCTTGCATGGTCTCTGTTTCCAGGTGTCACCTCCCTGGTTGGCTGGCTGCCCCCTGCTCTCACCCCTGTCAACAGTCCCTCTGCCAAAATCCTTCCAGAAAATCGTTTGCGCGTGCCATCTCTCTCCTGCTGGGACTGTGAAGCTGGGATTGAAAAGGAGACAGGAGAGCAGTGGCCCGTCCAGAGTCCATGCAAGGGGTCCAGAGGGGCCTGTGCAGTCCCTGGAAGGCCCAGCTGAAGGGTAACCGGTGCTCTTGCCCTCTGCTGGCCGTTCTTGTTACTGCAGAAGGTACGAGTCATCCCTGCTGCCCAGCCATTTCCCACCAGGAACCAGCCCAGCACATCATTTCCATTTCACAGATAAGAGACAGGCCTGGGCGCTCCCCTCAGCTGGGATGGAGCAGAGCTGGATTGGGAATCAGGACGGTCTCTGCTGCTGATGTATGTGGCCCCCATTTTCCCAAACCCAGGAGGCTCCAGGGCCCTCTGTGCATCTGTAACTGTGGCTATGTCGTTGTATTACCCTGCAGGGAGGTTGCAAGAGTTAACGTCCCAGAGATATAGACACCCACCTGTATCCACTTGTGGTTCGGGGCTGATTGAATGGCAGCTGCTTCACTTGTGGCCTGTGACCCACTTCAATCTACATTCGGAGAAGCCTTGGTTTGGAGTCAGGAAACCGTTCTTGTCCTGCCTGTTACACCCACGGAGTCCCTGGGCCTGACAAGCTCCCGGTGCATGCCTCGTCTCTGACATGACCCCGTGGGACTTAGAAGCTGCCCGAGATCCCTCGGTTCTGAGAGCTTGTGACCCGCTGTCGTAATGATAGACACCTGTGAGTCACGAGCTTATTGGCGCACAATGGAGATAGAAACGAGGGACTTGGTCGCTTCTTCCCCCGCTGATCCAGGACCCCAGTCCAGCCGTGTCTCTGTAACGTTCCCTCTGGCACAGCCCACGGTTCGGTCAAGCTGAGGGCCTCGTTTTCTGCCTCCACAGGTTCGCGTGCTCCTGGTGCTCTCGCAGTTGGGCCTCTGCCCACGTGTAAGTCCTTTTCCACGTGCAGTTGAGTAAGAGGGAAACCACGGGCCAGGTGAAGATGAGCATCTTTGCCCAGAGATGTCAGATGTGCTCTGAGCCTCCATTTGAGGTTCCAGAATTCACGGAAGAGAACGTCTCAAGGATCCTGAACAACCTGGTGTTCCGGATTCTGAAGAAATGCTACGGAGAAGGATTTAAGTCCATGGAGGAGATTCCTACAATCAAGGAATCTCTCTTGAAAGGCCACATGACACTGACAATTGTGAGGCGTGTCTGCAGGGCTTCTGTTACTGCAGAAGGTAAGAGTCCCCTTCACTTCCCACACTAAGCACACCTACCTTTGGGGTCCCCATCTATAAACCTTCTCTCACAAGGAATAGCACCATAGTGGATACAGTGACAGGGGCCCTGGGTGAAGAAAGGAGAGGTCGTGCACAAACCCTGGTTTCCTGAGCCCTCATGGGCTAAGAGTCCCAGAGTGAACACCAACTACCCGGGAAGGAGTATAGTCCGGGTCCCCACCCCACCCCCGCCCCCAAGGGAGTATTTGTGTTCCCACACAGCAGAATTGCATGCGCTGCAATTTCAGAATTTGCTGCTATTCAATCATTCTAATCCTAATCATTGTCATCGTGGTGGTGATTGTTATTAAAACCACTATATGAACCTCAAAAACATGGTGCTAAGTTTAAAAAATCAGACACACAAAGTCATGTATTGTATGATCCCGCTGATGCGAACTACTCAGACTAGGTAAATCAGGAAGTAGATTTGTGTCCTTACTACTGTTGTGGCCGGTGTGGCTCGGTCGGTGGAGTGTCATCCCATGTACCAAAAGGTTGCCGGTTTGATTCCATCAGGGCACGTGCCCAGGTTTCAGATTCCATCCCCGGTTGGGGTGCAGGCAGGAGGCAGCTGGTGGATGTTTCTCTTTCTCTCCCTCTCCCTTCAGCTCTCTCTTTGAAACAGGTGATGAAGTTCTGCATTTTGGAGTCATCCAGGAAAAGCTAGCCCTGGTGGTTCATGTAGTAAAAGTACTCGCGGGTGCAGGGCACCGGGCTCTGGCTCTGAGTGTAGGCGACGCCCCCAGCCCCACTGCGGGTCCACACCCCCAAGAACCACGCCAAGGGCAGGGCCCAGGCCCAGAGGGCCCCGCACACCAGCCACATCCTCCACATTGTTTTTTAAAACCCATATAGTGACATTATGTTATTTCCCTGAGACTGTCATCTTCTGAATGCATTGGACAGGTGCCTCTGCTGTAAGTCACCAGCAATATGACTAACCTGGCTGGTCTCCATTACTGGTTCTGGTGCTTTAAGTTCTTTCTTAGAGTGTTACTGGGGGCAGGGAGTCAAGGTTAAACTGTCCAAAGAGCAGTAACACAATGGAGTTCTTTAGCTATACCCGCCCATTCTCCAACTGGGCTATGTGAATGCCCGTTTGCCTGGTACATTATGGTGACTTCTGGATTATTATTGCCTTCAGAACTTACTTTGATTAAACAAAATTAAAGTAAGGCCTAAATGTATTGTTAGCCACAAAAAAATGAGTATTAGTCCAAACTGTTGCTTTAGTTCTCAGTGGCTCCCAACCTGGGGTCCTTTCCTGTCAGTGTTTAGATTCAGGCAAGACAGAAACCAGTCCCTCCCGCAGCCCCTGAAAAGGTCGGAATGTTGGGTGTTGGGTCCACTCCTCTCCCTTCCTCCCCAGGGAGAAGCTGGGAGCTGAGGGTTTCCTTGTGACCATGTGCCGCTGTGCGGGGACAGGGAGGGAATTATGGCAAGACCGAGCCACAGATGTTCCAACCAGCTCCAATACAGCTGGGTTTGTTCTCACACTGGGTACAGGATCCTCAAAATTGATCTTAAGGTTTCTCAGAAATGGAATTGGTCTGTGTGCTGTTCAATCAGTGTGTCCACGGGGGCATGAAGGGTCTGCATCCGAGAGTGTACTCTCTACTCATAAGAAAAAGTCTGCTGTAAACTACTGTGCCATCTTATGCTGGCAGCAACCTCATACATTTTGTCTACCCTTGACCACTTTTCCCGATACCCTCTTCTACCTCCTGCCTCTGTGCAACAGTCCTGTTCCTGGGAAGAGTTGTCTGTTCCCACTGTGTCCACTTCTAAGCTCCCACTTGTTCCTTAATTCTCAAAGTATATGATCCCTCATTATCACCCCTTACCACCTGACCTTCTCCATCTCCTGGCTTCGCTTGGTTCTCTCTAGACCCCTCCACTACTATGTAGTGGTCTCCAGGTCCTGCATTTAGCACCTCCCCCCTCTCAGTCTTACACTCTGCCTGGCTGCTCCTGTCCACTTTTGTGCCACATCTGCCCTATGCAGGTGACCCCCCGCCACCCAAAACCTAACTCCAGCCATAAGATCTATCCAAACGAACAGACCCAGGTTCCCAACTGCATCCTGAAAGTGTCCTCCTGAATATCACAAACACCTCAAACACAACACATCCAACACTAAATTCCTATCTTCCAAAATCTTTCTTCTCTGCATTCTGTGTCTGTGTAAATTGCACAACTATCCACACGCTTGCCAAAGCTAGAACCCTAACCTATGCCGCCATCTTGGTCTCTCCACCCGACACTAAATTCTTATCTTCCAAAATCTTTCTTCTCTGCATTGTGTCTGTGTAAATTGCACAACTCTCCACCCACTTGCCAAAGCTAGAACTCTGGAAGTCTATTTGATTCTTCTCTTTCCATTTCTGTTCCTACATTCAAACTGTGTCTCTATGACCCATAAATTCAGTGGAGTCTTTGACCCGAGTTCCTAAGTTTAATATGTGTTAGTACTCTTTAAAGAAAGACTCAGACATGCTCGTTCTAGTACTTTATTGGAAATTGGTTGTGTACATCAATGAGATCAGATCAAAGTAAAAGCATCATTTTCACACAATAATATCCTGATATCTGTGCTATCTTTTTACATAATTTAATAAATCCAATGAGGCTCCTGATTTGAGTCAAAGAGCTTGAGTGGTCCAGAAATCTCTTTATATAAATATAAATCATAGCATCTAAAATAGCCATCATTGTTTTGAGCTAGTTTCCAAAGTCCTGGGAACATCTCTTAAAACATTAGTCTGTACCTCGGATTGTTTGCAGTGCTGGTGGGAGTGAGTGAAGGGGGTACATATACCATGGAGCTAATTCTAGCAGGAGCTGGGGCAGAGGGGTCACGAGGCGCTGAGGACTAGAGATGCTGAAAGCTGGCCGGGGAACTCAGCTACCCTGCATTTTCCAACATTGCTGGAGTGTCAGAGCTCTGAGACTCCAGAGCAGAAAGAAAGAGTTGCCCTAGCTCCCTTGGCATTGCCAGGACGTGGCATAGCCCTCCTCCAGATTGTAGACCGGCAGAGGTTCTGGCACAGAGAAAGTCCTGGAAAGTTCCCCTCCCCCTCCCTCCTACTGCCATGATGAATTCCCTCCCAAATTAGGAAACTTGAGGGAGTGGCACATCAAAGAAAATCACTTTGAGCCAATGCGCTGCTGGCCCCTTGGAATGAGGACAGAGTGCCTTTGCTTGGTTTGACCTGAGGGGCACTGACAAAGGCTGCTCTGGCCCATTGTCTCCCTCGCCACCTTGAAGGCCATCATCAGTAATTGGGTTCTTTGGTTCTTCCGAGCTTCTCAGCATCCAGCAGTAACACCTGTATATAGGTGTTGGCTTCATTGCTCACAAACAGCCTTAACCTCCACCACGTCATTGGTTCTCACAACCCTATGAGGTAGGAAGGGCAGGGATTGCAATCCCCATTTGAAAGGTAAGGAACCTGGAACTCATAGAATTAGGTCCCCCAGTGGAACTCATGCAGCTGGTCAGTGGCAGAATCAAAACCAGAACTCAGGTCTCCCCTCCCATATCAAGCTTCAGAGTCTACACTCCAAAGTCCCTCCTGCTGCTTCTCTGAGAAAGCGGGAGAGCCTGGGGGAGGGGACGCCGCCCTCATCCCTCCCCTGCCCCCTCTCGGCAGGCTCTCAGACAGCCCCGTTGAGGACAGGATGAGTCCGCATGCGATAGATGATGACCGCAGTGGCCGGGCACAGCAACAAGGAGGTCATGATGACAATGGTGGCCAGGATGATGAGGACAATGACCCAGATATCCAGGATGTGCTTGGGAAGCGTGTCTTGCGAGGGGACCTCACTGCCGGCATCCATGCTGCTGCACTCTGTAACAGACAGCGAAGAGGAAATCACTGTTTTGTACCTTCTCCCTGCCTCCCTCGTGGGGAGAAAACCTGCTCCAGGAGTCAGAAACTCGAGTCATTGACGAGCTGTGTGATCTTTAAAGTTGCTTGATCAATAATAACAATGGCCTCATTCACGGAGGGCTTCCTATGTGCCAGGCACCGTGCTAGGCGCTTATAGGTACTAACTGAGTCCTCACTTCAACCACCAACCCTAGGAGGTAGGGACTCTCAGGGCTTTTTTGTTTGTTGGCCTTTATCTTCAGTTATTCCCATTTTAAAGACGAGGACTCTAAAGCCTTACAAGGTGTAGATGTAGTTAATTTGCCTGAGGAAGTGAAGCCAGCGGGGTGGGACTCCAGCGCCTCGATGTTTAACTGTTAAACCACCCAATTCCCAGTGTATTTCTTCTCCTATAAAATGGGAGATTCAATGCTTTTGGTCCTCTACCGCTTTTCCCATTCTCCTGGTAACAGAACCCCCTCTTTTCTGTGAAGAACCTACACACTCCATGTCTTAGGGTGCTCGCCTGAGGACAGGGGTGGATATGTGACTTGGGCTTGGCCATTCAAAATCTCCATAGCCTCAATTCAGGAACAGGCGAGCAACCCAGGGTAGACCAACCAAAGTCCTCCCAGGGCTCGTATGCACAAGCTATTGGGAAAGATGACCCTTTCTGCTGGGATGCTAAACTGAAGGGTGTGAGTCTGGAAAGGATGGGTGTGGGGCTATCTTGCCCATATGTGGAGCGCCTGTGCTAGAGAAGGAAAGAAAAATAGAGCCTGTTTTGAATCCAGCCCGGTCTGACGCCATCTGCAAACCAGGACATCCCAGATTATAAACCAACTAGAGGCCCAGTGCACAAAATTCATGCACTCGGTGGGGGGGGGGCCCTCAGCCTGGCCTGCACCCTCTTGCAGTCTGGGAACCCTTGGGGGATGTCCGACTAACGGTTTATGCCCACTCCCCACGGACCTAAGCCATCAGTCAGACATCCTTAGCGCTGTGAGCCTGCTTCTGGCTGAGCGGCACTCCCCCTGTGGGAGTGCACTGACTACCAGCGGGCAGCTCCTCCTTGGTGGTCAG